CCCAGATCACCATCATGTGACCGCAGGGGTGCTGGGACAGCTGGAACTTCAAGGACAGGTCGCTAGTACCACTCATTCAGTGCCATTGTAACTTTGAACGGTCGCTGAATGAGTGGTCGTCATTTGAGGACTACCTGTATTTGTATATGACAGTCACTATAATAAATTTCATACATACACATAAAATTTAGCAGGTGAGACAGATGGAATAGACAGAAAGAATTTCATTTCTTTAAATAAAACAACAATGTGGAAAATAGAAAACATTATCTAACATTATTACTATGGCATTGTTGCAGTGTTTAATTTTTCCCCCGTTGATTTGTACAACAAAATTATAAGATAGGTAAGCACTATAATTAACCAATTAATAGGGTCCTGAGTTTTAGAGAGAGTGGCTTATTTCATGCCATCCAACAAAGTCAGGTTTGAACTAGGGCAGATTTTCACGTGTTGGTAAAGTGCTAGTTCAAATCTCATTTCTCGAAGCTTTCTATCAGAAAGGGTGCTATAGGTACTGGTTATCAACCAAATTAGCCTATTCTACTTCCTTAGCACAGGTACTGCTGTGCTAAGGAAGTAGAATAGGCTAATTTGGTTGATTCTACTTGAAAATGCTCTTCTAAATAAATATTTTAATACAGTAAAATATAATTTTGATCCTGTTTCATGCATTAAAATTTGCTAGCTCAGTTCAGTAAATTTCTGACTCACTAATGTATGGAAAATTTAACTAATGCTATACTTTTGAACCATGGTGGTGAGATATGCTTGGTCATAGACTAAGTCATGGGTTTATTGAAATATGTCTGTCCTGATAACTTAAAAACCATGCAATTGATATGCAACATTTTTGGAGAATAGTTTTCTAGTTAGTTTACATTATTGTAATGTTTGACTATATTTTGAGTATATACGATTTTTCAAGGATGTTGTGAACATCAAAATAGTAAATCCTTTTATTTGATGTTGAGAAAATTTTACTGAATCAGCCATTGCTAGCTGTTGTTTATAAAGTGTTCATTTATAAAACATTTTGTACAGTATTTTAACATGGCAGAATATAAAAAGATTAAATGCTTCCCAAAAAGCTTTTTGGTTGTTTGGGTGAGATTTGTTTATAAGTACTATTTCTTATTCTTCAGAGATTTCAGGTAAACATTAAAACTGAGTTTAGATATGTTAAAATTGTCTTTAAATCAGTTGAATGTCAGATAAGACAGAAGGAAACTTTTTTGGTTGTTTTTTACAGTGAGATTGAGTTGGGCCAAAACATTTCTAACATTAGTAGAACATATAATACAGATTTTGGGTATCTTGTCTTTCTCCATTTTAGCAACAGAATTCTGCAGGAACTGCAGTTAGCTACTATATACAGGAGAGCCAGTTTGGTGTAGTGGTTAAGCCATCAGGCGAGAAACCAGGAGACCGTGAGTTCTAGTCCCACCTTAGTCACAAAGCCAGCTGGGTGACCTTGAGCCACTCACTCTCTCTCAGACCTAGGAAGGAGGCAATGGCAAACTACTTCCAAAACTTTGCTGAGAAAACCGCAAGGACTTGTTCAGGCAGTCACCAGGAGTTAACACTGACTCAAAGGCACAAAATAAAGACAGACAAACAGACAGACAGACTCAGGCCCTTAATATTATGCATAGGATTATATTTTGTTTCTGAAAATGTTGTCTTAGTATAAATTGAAGAGAAATATTTTTGTCTTGAATTAACATTTTGTAGTATAATGGAGCCAAGCAAAAAGGAACAAGTACTAAGGATCATGTTGAATACAATAGACTTAATTCTGAGAATGTGCATATAAAGTAATATAAGACTACAGTATTGGGCAGGATTAAGTAAAGTGGCATTTTCTTCATGTTTTGATAAGTCACATAAACTTCAGCCAGCATGGTCAGGATATAAATTTTAAATATTGTAGATTTTGTAGTCACGCAAAACATCTAGAAGAAACAAGGTTACTATCTCTTCTTCAAGAACTTCAGAAGGAAGATGATATCAAAGCCATACATTCCAGTTTGAATTGTTGTGAATAATAATTAGCTTGATTTGGTTGTTTTTTGTTTGTTCCTTTGTTTATGGACGAATAGTTAAATATTAGAATTTATTACTTTTTCTTCCATATGGGATGTATGTAAAAGTGATAGATTTATAAGAAATTGCTCTTGGCTTATGCTTTTTCCACAGACTCTGCCGAACACGTGAGTTACTTCTCTCTGTCTTCTTCATATTGTGGTCTAATAGAATATTTTTCTCTTGACATATCTATATGTGCTCAAACAAGTGCATTGATCTGAAGTCTTACAGCAATAAGCTGAAAATGTTAAAATGTTAATTATTTTGTCTCATAAAAGTGAGCTTATTTTGTGGATAAAAAATCAAGAGCTTTTATAATCTCAATTTCATATGGAATCAGGACTCCTCTATGAAACCATGTCACCTAGACCTTGGACCTGAGATGTGTGCCTTCACTGGTAGTGCCTACCCTTTGGAAGACGTCCCCCCCGAGATCCAAATGGCCCCATCCTTCTGAACTTTCGCAAGGCCTTGAAATCCTGGTTTTCCCCCATTGGGCCCGAGTGTTGGATGAGACTGTCCTGAAATTATTTTAGAATTGGAATATATTGGGTTTGGCCTTGGTTATCTTGTATTGTGATGTGTTTTGTTATTGATTCTTTTGTTGCTTTTAACCCTTTGTTAAAATGTTGACTTTGTTAAATTTATTTAAATTAAAATGTTAAAATTAAGTTCAAAATAGACTGTTCAGAATTCACTGGAAGGGTCCAAATGCTTTTCCAAATACACTGAAATATTCCAAGCTTGAAATGGATCCATGGTATATTGAAATGGGCTGTTCCAAACAGTACATTTCCAAAATGGTTGGAGCAGCATTGGAATATGAAGTTCCAAAAGGTTGGAACAACCTGTTATGAATTTGAAATGCTTGTACACTGCTATCACACTACTTTTGATTTGATTCCAAAAAGATATTTTGAGGGAACTCTTTGAAAAAGTGATGCCTTCTCTCAGGATTATGCTGCTGAGCTCTGCCACACTTTGAAACATATTTTTGGAATCAGATTCTAAGCGTTTATTTGGATGCCTTGAGTTAGATGAAAATTTCATGTGGGGTCCTTGGGGTTCTCTGAGCTTGGTTGTTTTCTTGCAAATGTTTCATTACCTGGCTAGGTAACATCTGCAGTGCTAGAATGGAGTGGGGTTTGCTCTCTGTTTATATACAGTGGCATGCCCTGCCAGTGTTAGTGGTGTGTGTGTATGTGTGTGTATTTTCCCTTCCTGGTAGTTCCTTGATTAGGGTATTGTTTATTGCTTGATTGAATGTCTGGTGAGAATCTTGGTGTTAATCTCTGCTTATCTGGATGATGATTGTTGGTGAGGAGATGTTCTGGTCTGTTGTTTCCTTTTTATTGTCTTTTTTTTTTAATAGTGTAATAATGTTGCTTATCTCTATGTGCCCGTTATTTGAATTGTCACTTCAGATTCTCAGAGGGAAGCACATTTCTTAGCCAATATGAGAGTGAAATGTGCTACATCTGCAGAAATATTCTCTTACAAATCTTACTTTAGTAGCCGTGAAAATCATCTTGTACCTAGGAGTTAACATGATCTTCAGAAAAATTAATTAGATACTCAACTTTGAAAATGTTTGAATGTCATGAAAAGTTGAAAATCAGTGGAAGGCATGAAAACTTTAAAATTAATGGAAAGATTGGGTTTTATTCACATGTACACATTATTACACAAAAACATCTGAGTTTTTTCCAGGATTATAAACATCTCATAGTATGATGTTGTCCAACCTATCTTTGTTGTTGGTTTGATAGACTGAATGAGGACTGTTTATTAAGGTACACATTATAGTATATATCCTGAAAAATTTTGTTTTGGAAATATATCTTGCTTGTCACAAAATGCTGCAAGCTATATTTGTCATCTGGTTTATGATTTTTTCACACATTTTGTTTATTACAAATGTTTATATGCTTCAAGCAACTGAAACTAAGTAAACATGTAACAGGATTATCAGAAAACATATTAAATACATACATACATGCAAATATGTTCAGAATAATCTCATAACAATCCAAAACTACCATGCCATCATTCATTCAAGCAGTCCTCAACTGCTCTTTGAAAATCCAGTGAAAATCACTATAAAAAGTGAGGGTGCATATTTTATTTATAAGACTAAGTTTTTCCATAGGAGAAACTTTTATACTGTATGGGTTAGGGACTTTCAGCATACTTCTCATCTTCTTCCAGTGTCACTCCAGTCTTCTGTTTTGACACTTCATTCCCTGGAATTCCTCTGTAAACCAAGAGGAGGCCTCTGGGAATTGTACACAAAAGAGGCCATTCAGGAGCTATATTGTTGAGGGCCTTTATCACCTTCTTTCTTTCAGAGATCAACAAGACTTCTGACAAAGCCTCCCTTTAGATTGGTGGGAAACTTCCATGTGCCCTCTAGAAATCATTTGGATCCAACCAATGCCTGGGGTAGACTGTTGTAGTTAGGCCTAACTCCCTGTAGGGGTCGTTTTCTGGTGACAGTGGGGTGGTTCTGGTTAACCCTATGGTCACCAAAACAAAGATCTGCCTAAGACAAGGGTCAACTTCTTCTGTCTTTACTGCCAAACCATGCCTCACTTGCTCCAAAGTATAAGCGATATATAATGTGTATCCCAGTGTTCTTAATAGATTCAAATGTTGCGTGTATAGAAATGCACCTTTCTTGTGTTATTCAGGAGTACAACTATCATATGTTCACAGCTTTGAAATATACAAATAAGTAGATGTAAAACATATTTTCTCTGTAATTGCTTGCTTGCAGTGTAGATTAACGTGAACAGTTTGTATGAATATACATATTGCTAAATTGGCGATTAAGGGGTGTGGAAAAATGAAATTGGAGCTACAATTGAGCTAATTTATTTTGTCTTATGATATTATTGTTGTTTTTTGTATAGGAAGACATCAATCTAATGCCAAACATCAGAGATAATGGTCTAATTCCTGGAAATGACAAATTCAAGCCAGTGTTACCCTGGCCTCATGTTGAAGGTGTGGAAGTAGACTTGGAATCAATTCGACGAAGGAATAAGGCCAAAAATGAGAGAATTCCTCATGTTGGTGGAAAGAATGATCAGCAAAATATTATGCAGAGACAGTATCTTACATTTAAGCCACAGACACATATCTACCATGACCCTGTATTGCGATCTGGAATTCTTGGTAATTTTGAACCCAAAGAACCTGAACCCCATGGAGTTGTAAATGGTCCTGGTGAGGAAGCAAAGCCATATGTTTTAGGACCAGAATATAAAGAATCTGTTCAAGCCAGCATTAAAGAATTTGGGTTTAACATGGTAGCAAGTGATATGATCTCACTAGATCGGAGCATTAATGACTTACGCCAAGAAGAGTAAGTTCTTCTTCTGCTTCTATTTTATACTTATTATTCAAGAGTAATATAATTTCAGTAAAACTGATGGTGCCATTGCCATATTTTGTTTACTGTGAGTAAAGATGTAACAGTTTTTACAAGGCATCCTCCCCCAAAGTAGGAAAATAGAGTACTACCACTTCTATTACTGATAATAATTTATTAAACCTAACTCTCAACAACTCTGGGAGGCTCACAACAGTCAAAGAAATCACAATAAAATCAATAAAATATAAATATAAAAGATGGCAAGTGCAACTGACCCAATGGAATGAAGTGAGGGGTCTCACTTTTCCTCACCAAAGCCCTGGGTGAAGAGCCAGGTCTTCATGGCTCTTCTAAACAATAGAAGTGGGGGCCATCTGAATCTCAAATGATACATGATTTTATACGTGTGTGTGTAAGAGAGAGAGAGAGAGAGAAATGATGCAAAAGAAATCTCTGTTTGGAATACTCACATCAAACCAGAAAATAGACTCATATGTGGAGGAATTGAGAAACTTGCCTCAGTGTAGTCAAAATTCACAGTTCAGAAGCAGATACAGTAATAAAATGATAAAAGCTTAGAATAAAAAGAAATTGCTGTTAAATAAAACTTCCAGTTCAAAACGTAAGGCTGACTGGAAGGTGTTTCAAGAGACATAATATGTATTTTGAGCCTCTCTCCCCATCTCCTCAGGTTTTTTTCCTCAAAATTTTAGCTTTTAGTATCTGTTTAATAAAATAAAAGGGAAAGTCCAGAATACTTTACTTTTCTTAATTTACTACCATGCATATGGTTTCTTTTTTAAAATTTTAACTTTTTGCAACAGAACTTCAAAACATTCAATAGCAAATTAATCAAAAATTTAGAATTATTTTCTGAATAAACTATACTTTAATTGTTGTACGTCACCCAGAGTCACCTTTTGTGAGATGGGCAGCTAAATAAATATGATAAATAAATAGATAAAATACTTTACATTTTTTTTACACAGTATCCTTTTAAAAGTAAACTAAGGAATACATGATAAAATTGGAAGCAAAGGCTACACAACCTTTGTCTGTTTAGAAATGACTTAATTTGAATTCCTACACTGAGCAGAGAGTAGGACTTGAGGTCTAAATAATCCCTTCCAACTTTATGATTTTATGATGGAACAAAGTACATGTAAATAATGTTTTAAAATAAATATGACCTGTAGATTAATTTTTCCCAAATTTTCAATTTTTTTCTTGGAAAAAAAATGAAACAATAAAATACTTGCTTCAAAATCCCTGGACATTATATGGTTTTAGTTACAATTTCAGAATTTATCTTTTCTCCCTTCTTTCTTTCATGTGATTTATTCCATGCCTAAAAACATATAATTTGAGTATCTATTTTCCACCATACATTTACTCCAGATTTTGTTGCAATAATTCTCTTCCTTCTGTGTTATCTGATGTAGGTATGTGCCTAAGTATTTGTCATGTTCAATATTTTCTTAAGTTGCTTTATTTTTTAACTAAAAGAAGCTAAAATATAATCTGTTTTTGAAAGGTACACATACTAGTCTAGGAAAAATATATTTCCAAAGTGTTATTTAAAACTCATGTGACTTACAGTATTACACACATAATTATAGTTATAATATCAGTAAGGGAAAAAAATCTATTCATAGTTCACTGATTCCAAAACTAATATCATTTTACTAGAAATCATGTAATCATATGTTGAAATAATGTGACTTAAAATAGTGATCATCTCATACTACTACAAATTTAATTTATTTATTTAATGTAATACAAATGCTAGTTTTCAAATGATGAGTAAATCAATTGCTTTGGCTTAAGCCATGATTATATTTTATATAAATTTTTCATAGCAAGAAGAGAATTGGTGTGTTCTTTTGCTAAGAAAAAATAGTATAATGGTTCTTTTTAATAATGATTCAGAGCATTTTTACTTCAAGTTTGTTTGGTATCAAATCAAATCTTTGACAGTGTCATTAAAAAGAAATAAAAGGGATCTAAAATGTTATATAAAGAGTGAAAATGAATATCTAAGCGATTATAAAAAGCTAGGAAATATAAAAGATATAGAAGTTAAAAACAAAGTATATACAAAAAGTGAGAATCAAAAGGAAGGGGTAGGAGCATTAGATGAATATAAGGGAGCATAACAAAGTTAGTATGTGGAAGATTATGACTATCAAGTTGCAATGCTCCCTAATGTGGCAAACTAGGTATTCATTAAATCTGAGGGTTGGCCTTTGAGGATAGCTGAGGGTCTTTGGGATCTGCTAATCTGTGTTGTATAAAGATCTTTAATAGCAATCTTGTTTCTCTATGTTTTCAGTCTAAAATAGTGGCTTCCCTTTCATCTTATACTAGTTAGCTGGGAGCTTAACATGAGAGTTTCATATCATGAAGCCAAAGACAGATAACTTGAACCTACAGTTGTCCTCCAATAGTGGAAGTTCCTTCTGTCCGTATAAAGCTTTCAGTCTATCAGAGCTTTTCCACTGGCAAAAGTATAGGAGATTCCTTCTTTGATCAGCCACCTGCAGTTGGAGTTTGGAACAGCAGAGGAATTAGAACTGCAATCAGCAGGAGGAGGGAGGAACTAATAAAGCTTTGTTCCTTTCCCTTCCTGCTGACCATAATATTCCTTCAGACAGTTGAAGGACAGTACATTCGTCCCTCATTCATTTGCCAGGGGATAGAAAATTGCATCCTCTGTCTCCTACAAAGGATATTGTGGGATGGATAAAGCCAATTTGGTCATTTACATTAACCAGAGAATGAACAACTAAAGGATCTTGCTTAAACTCTTCTTGTAAGAGTACTAGTAAGAGCACCTGTTAGAAATAAGACCCACCAGGCACAGTTACCAGCCTAATAGTTGTTTTTCATTTTCTATACCTAGCATATTTTGTATTGTGACAGTTGATAAGCCTGCCTTATCCTATTGCATAAACTGTTAGAAAATATTTGATGGTTCATAAGTATTCAGTAAATAATAGTAGCCTTAGAGGATGCTACTACTGGAAGGAAGAAAGTAGCTAGAATCCATAAGGACTTATTAACAAAAAAGGGGAAGAATCTACTGTAATATGGAATTGTTACAATGTTTGTTTTTTGATGATAATTCTATGCCATGTGTGTTATTTTATTACTTTAAGAATTGTTTAGGAATGATCAACTTAAATATTTAACACATTTTACCATCTTTTTTATAAAGCTCCCATAGTTATAATGTTGATGTGACAATGTCAGAATGACATCAACCTTACTTTTTTATTGATGAAATTATGTTGCCCTTTTCTCTCTAAGTAGATAAAACGAATAAAACAATCTTTATTATCATTTAATGAAATATTTTATTAACATAAGGCATTTGCAAATTTCTTGACCATATTATTGTTAACAAGCCAAATTCTTTTCTGCAGTGTGCTTTTTATTATGGCTGTGCAGTGCTTCAGATTCAAAGGCAAAAATGTGCTTTGAAGGGTAGAGAAGCACAGTGTAATGTGGGTTTGCAGGTCCTTAAAGCAGCTGTGTGATCCTGGCAAAATATGTTCTACTAAGTCTATAACAATGCACTGTATTATCTTGTGTGTATAAAAACATTTGTAAAACCCATACCAAATTCTATCTGCTGGCCTGTGATTAAAAAAAAAAAAACAGTTTACAATTTTATAGCTAGCAATTTTGAAGGTTGGTCTGGCTATTTATTTATTTATTTATTTTCAGAGTTAATTTTCTGAACCAGCAGATACCAGATTTTGGGGGGGGGGGAAAATCCTCAAGAAAAATAACTGGTTATTCTCAGGAAGGTTTTGTTACAGAATGGTTTTACAAATGCCTACTAAGAGTTTCTCTTTCTTTCTCTTTCTTTTTCTCAGAATACAATATGGAAGTCTTTAATACTTGGCCTCCTTCTGTGATTCAGTCTGGTTTGGGGTGCCATACCTGTTATAATACATAAATCTCACACAAACATAAATAATGAGAAATATTTCAAATCCCTATACTGCCACAAATTCATAAATCAGCATTCTGAGGTTTTTCAGAGATCATAAATTCAGAGATTCCTGAAGTAGGCCTGTGAGAAACTCTAGAATCATGGAGGCCCAGGATAGACAGCATCGTGCTAGATAAGCAAATACTTTAACTTGAGTTAAGGAAATTTTATCTTCCTATGATAGAAATGTATTTTACTGTATGTAAAATTAGGCCCACTGTTGAGGAGCTTGGCAAGTAGTATAGAGCTTTTATTATTTGTCAGTCTAAAAAACAGTTTTAAAAAACCACCAAATTAGGATTGGCTATTGTATATGTTATGGAAGCATATGGAATCTTTCCTGTAGCAAGTCAGTGTGGTCTGTATGTAGGAAAAAGGCACATCAGTAGAGCATGTGGCATGTATTTTTTTCCGGCTTAAAAATGCCTCCAAATATGCAGACATGGAATGAAGAAAGAATATTGAATAGTGCACTGCCTTTGCTGTAGTAACTAAAGTACTGTTAAAATATAAATCTTTGTCTCATAAAAGATTTAAGACTATGTGACAGGATATTTCTAGGTTTAATATAAAACACACATGGAAGTGTAATTGATATCATAACTAGCAATATTAGTATTCAGTCCTAAAAGTGAAGTAGTTTCTAAGCACCTTGCTCATTTTAGTATAATATTCATAAAATGACAATTAGCAATGTCATTGAGACTTTTTATATGTATATTTATAAGCAGGGTGGTGATGGAAAGTACAATAACATATTTTTTTAAAAAGTTTGCTTCGATGGTAGTTTATCTGCCACTAGATGTCACTGTCGTTTTGTGGAATAGCAGTTGGGTTTTTTTATGTTAAATTCTAACTGCTTGAGAATTTATTTTGATAAGTATCAGCTATTTCAGTTTATTAATGGATTTTTTTTAGAAAAGTATGCTTATGATTTATTTAAAAGAAAAAAAATCTTGGCTGGTATAGATGTTAGTCTTAATTCGTTTGCTTATAATACCCTATTTTTAAAATTCTGGCTACTGTGAAGAATTAAGGGAAAGAGAGAAGTCAAATCAGTATTTTGCACTGTGTTGAACGTTAAAATAAAAAAACAGTGCACTGTTAATACAATTTTAAAAATGAACAAATATAGGAGAATGGAATATTGGGGCTGAATTTTCACTCTTGAGTAATAAACTTGAACTTTCAGTCTTCTGAAAGTTCAAAGTTACCAGTTGAAAGGCAGAATGTGCGTATTTCTTTGTTTATAAAAATAGTATTTATAAACAATATAGACACACAGAGCAAATTTGGGTTTTTGCAGCATATCTGTTGATGTTAAAACTACAATTTTTTGGAACAGTAAACTAAGACTCAAGTCATTATTTGAAGATACCAATTTCCTGTCAAGATGCAGAAGTTGATAGAGTTGTTTCTTGTAGTAACATTTCTGAATTGAGTTAGAGTTGAATATGTTAGTATGAAACTAAAACAGTGATAGCTTTAGGTCAATAAAACAAAGGCAAAGCTGAACTAGTTTGAAGTCCTTGATAGTATATTTGGCAGCTTCTGTGTGACCTTGTCTTGGCTCAGAAGGTAAGGTCAGACCTAGTTAGTACTTGGCCACCAGAGAACACCAGGGCTGTAGAATAGACTAGGAAGGCAGTGGCAAACCATTCCATATTATTGCCAAGAAAATAACTTGGATCTCCATGCAATTACCAGTAGAACTTGACTGAAAGAAGACTTACTGTACATGGGCAGTTTTTTGAAATTTTAGTTGATTCACAATATGGTGGTTAAATTAGCTAATGTATAAATGTATGTTGTAAATAAAAAAGTCTTTCCTTAACAGGATAAACTGCTTTACTGTTACAGTGGGGAAAAAGGGAACTGGTCATATGCAAGAGACATTATAAGAGTTCCCAATAGATGGATGATACATTTTGCAACTAGAACTATTCTGAATTTGTATACATTTTATTTTTTATTAAAATTGTTTTACTGCAGTTAAAATTTGGAAATATTGATTATAAATATTCATAAAAAATTAAAATAACAAAGTTGTCCGTTGCAGGTGCAAATACTGGCACTATGATGAAAACCTACTCACCTCCAGCGTTATCATTGTCTTCCATAATGAAGGATGGTCTACGCTCATGCGGACAGTTCACAGTGTAATTAAAAGAACTCCAAGAAAATATCTGGCTGAAATTGTTTTAATTGATGATTTTAGCAATAAAGGTAAGTGTATTTAACATCAGTATAAAACTCAAGGTTGAATATCATTATCCAGGAAACGTGAGGCAGCAGAAACACTGGGCTGATATCCAGCTGTTTCTGTTCCTAATTAAATAGCAACATCTAATTGAAGAGTATTGGGCTATTAATCTTTAGAAGTTATAGAATACTTGTCACACATCTGTCTGTGTGAATTTGTGTATTTTGCACTACCCGTAAAGATTATTTGGATTTAGTCTTAACAGTCTCAGTAAATACTAGGTCTTTATAAATACATCATTATTTAATTCATTTTGCATTGCATTAAATGTTATTACTATATGTGGATTTATAGATATGGTTTTAATTAGATAAATAATGAGATAGTAAGGCATTATTTTCCATTTTGGGTTGTATTGTGTGAGTGAGTGAATTGAATTGAATTGATGATCTTGAATTGGATAAGGAGCATGGTTTCGAGTGGACAGCCTAAATCAAAGTCAATAACCTTTTCAAGAAGAGGTAATAATTATTCATATGTGCAGTTGGACATATATTATTAGATTTTTTTTAAAGTATAGTATGAAGAATTTGGAAGATTATAGCAATAAAACCATGTAGATGACTAGAGTAAATATGGGTCTAGCAATTTGAAAAATACTATACGTATTTCAGTCTTATTGCCTCTACCTGCTGAAATGTTGTCTGTTGCATTTGGGGAGGTATGTCTTTCTCCTTAAAAATCACTAATACATTCCTTGGTGTATTGAACAACAAAAGAGGCTACACAGAATTGTGGATGAGCATTTTAATGTAGTATTTTAAACATAGTATTCCAGTAACAAAAATGCTAATTAGCAGAAACCTTTTCCTGTCATTTTGATTATCATAAGAGTCATACAGTCATGTGAAAAAGTAAGTACATTCCATATAAAGTTTTTTCCTCCCCGTTTAAAATTTATTTAGTTAGTTAGTTAGTTAGCAAATCTGTATAACCACCCATCTCACAAAAAGTAGGAGGCTTACAAGCAAAATAACAATTAAACCACATTATAAAAAAACATCAGACATAAATAGCAGCAAAAATAAAAACATAGAGAAATAAAACATGAAATAGCCACTTTGCAGGCCTACCATGGGATCCCCAGGGTTGATGAACCATGTTTTCAAGGCTTTCCAGAAGGTAACAGAGATGGGGCTAACCTCATCTCAGGGGGAATGAAGTTCCAGAGGGCGGGGGCTACAGCAGAAAAGGCACGTCTCCTGGGTCCCACCAAATGGAACTCCTTCGCACTTGGGACGGATAGCATAGTCAATGGTATCAAAGCTGCTGAAAGGTCAAGAAGAGCAAGGACAGATGCATTACTCCTGTCCTGGTCCCACCAGAGATCATCCAGAAGTGCAACCAATGCCATCTCCATCCCATGCCTAGGCCAGAATCCCAACTAAAAGGGGTCCAGATAATCTGCTTCATCCAGCACTTGCTGAAGCTGCTGTGCACTCACCTTCTCCACACCCTTCCCTAAAAAAGGGAAGTTGGACACTAGACGAAAGTTGTCCAGTGTGATGGGATCTAGTGATGGTTTCTTGTGGATTTATCAATGTTTTATCCTAATTCAAACAGCATATAAAGGTGTTGTAATTGAGAAAAAAAACTATGAAATGCTGTCTTTGGTTTTAACTAAACATATTTTCTGGTACTGTGGCCAAATAACTATCTTTGCCTCGTCCAGAGCACATTGTTCTGGAAGTCCTGGTACTTGCCTTGGTGATCATAAGCAAACTTTAGTCTTGTCCTGATGTTCTTTCTGGACAGCAAAGATTTCCTCCTGGCACACCTCCATTCAGCATCTTGTATTCTGCTCTTGGGCTGAACCTGCTGGGATGGGCAAGTAGACAGTTGTTTGAAATCTTCTCCACTTGTAGATGATCTTCTGGACAGTGGAATAGTTGATGTCTAGTTGTTTGGCGATCTTTTAAAATCCCTTCCCAGACTCATAGGCATCTATCACCTTCTTTCTGAAGACCTCAGAGAGCTCTTTCAATCTTGGGATGGAGACACCATATATTTCAGCAACAAAGGGCAAATCATACTAAATGTCTGAGGATTCAATAAAACAGGTTCCTCCACATCCTAACAATGTTCTCATTATTTGCATCTCATCTGGTACATTTGATTCTAATTTTAGGTATTTGAAGTAGTGATAAATGTAGGGTTGTACTTACTTTTTCCACATGCAAATGTTTATTTAAGTTACACAATGGATTTCAAAATGTAAATTGTGCATCATATTTGTTATATTCCCTTTATCTGTCAGTGTAGTTGAAGATCAAATATCTGCATATTGAAATATGTTGAAAAACTAAAAAATGTCACGTCTCACTTTTTCACATGGTTCTATGTGTCGAAGGTATTTAGGGATCTTCTTTGACCACTTTTGTTTTCACGTTCAAGTCTAAGTAGATTTATTGTAGGTACTAAATACCACATCCCCTCATCAAATCTTGATTATTGTTATTGCTAATAAATGAAGCGTTTTATTTTGTGAGTTAAAGTCTTGATGATTTGAGAGGGATGAGGTATGTCAAAGAGCAGTTATTCATTTTATCACTCTCCTGCAGTCAATTAAGGCTATTTTACACTGGTAAGAAGCCCGTTTTTCAAAAAATGAAACCTACTAAATCATTGTTCTTAAATGTCCTACGTATGTTTAAGACATGGCTGGAAAATTAGTTAGTGTTTCTTTTGCCTTTCTGTTGCCAAAGGAGTTAAAATATAAGGATATTGGTATAGTCACAGATTAATTTTTCAGTGTTATAAGGGCAGGTGCCTTTCTGTTTTCCTCAGTGCTTGTTAAATAATTAAGAAATAATTCTTATGTGAGCTTGCAGTTATCAGTAAATATACCAAACTTACATGTTGAATTTGACATCCTTAATTTTTAGAGAATGTAGATGTTTAGTCAAATATATAATGTTTGTTTTTAATATAAATTTAGTTTGTATTGTCAACTCAACCTTAACTATTTATAACATGCATGGAAACTTCTTTTTATTATTTGATAGAACACTTAAAAGAAAGACTAGAGGATTATATTAAGCAGTGGAATGGCCTTGTAAAGATTTTTCGAAATGAAAGGAGAGAAGGTTTAATTCAAGCTAGAAGCATTGGAGCCCAGAAGGCTAAACTTGGACAGGTAGAATACTGTTTGCTAAATAAAATCCTTCTTTCCATATAGTCTCAATGTTGCTTTTAATGGATCTTAAACCACATTATTATTATTATTATTATTATAACCACAGTTCTTAATTGAAAAATTATATTTAAAAAAACTCAAGTCAACATGTATTTTTATAAGAAAATATAAGCTAAGTTGAAATTTCCTTTCCTTTTTGTTTTTTAAAGGTTTTAATTTACCTTGATGCCCACTGCGAGGTGTCGGTAAACTGGTATTCACCACTAATAGCTCCTATATCTAAAGACAGGTAATAATTTGCTTATTTCTATCCCTCAGGAATCCTTTAAAGATTGTAATATCCCAGTCAGGTAATCATTTTTTATGGGTGGGTAATTTTCTAACACATTTTCTCAGCTGACCAAATAGTTGTTTGCAGGTTGGCTGAGAAAACTTTGCTTTCCCCGCAAGACTAATTTAGCGAAAGATCATTTACATTAACAATTTTTATTTGAAGTGTACTTAGCACTATAAATTTAACATAAGGTTAAACTTATGTTAATACCGTAAGACATTAATTGCATGGTTGATTTCACTTGTAATGCAAACAGTTGGTAAATTGATGTCCATATTTACCAAGTGAAGGCTGCTTTAAAATGAAGAGTAAAAATCTAAGAAAGCAGTCCCCAGTGTGCAAACCAGAATTGCACATGAATAGTCAGAAATAGAGGATGTTGTTTAAATTGTACCCCCACTTTAAATAATAAGGAGTTTGGGTTATTATAGTAGGACATTAGTTTTGGTTTCACAGTGTTAAGGTATATATAAATGTATTTGTTAAAATAGTATATTTGCTAGCTTTAAATCAGACCTAACATTTTTAAAAAAAATCTGTGACGTGTTTAAAAACTGGCAAAACCACTTGACAGTCCCTCTCCTTCACTAAACCAAACAAGGGAAATGCATTTAATAGAAGAATAATGTATTTTCCAAATGTAGAACACGTGATTTACATTATTCCCTTTGACCATTTATTTTCAAGAATCTATACAGGAAGAGGTAAATGTATTCTCAACATTAATTTAAATTCATTCTGTTAATTCGTAATCTCTGCCCCTCCCTTTGGTTTTGTAGAAAAAGTAGTGTATATCTATGCACTGTATTTATTCAGACTATATTAGAATAAGGCATTAAAAGTAATTGGTAATCTATTGGATTAGACAGCTTAACCTTGTCTCTTCCCCTTCCATAAATATTTCAGAACTACATGCACTGTGCCTCTAATAGATTACATAGATGGGAATGACTATTCCATTGAACCACAGCAAGGCGGGGATGAAGATGGCTTTGCCAGAGGGGCCTGGGACTGGAGCTTGCTATGGAAGCGTATTCCATTAAGCCACAAGGAAAAGGCAAACAGAAAATGTAAAACTGAGCCATATCGGTAAAGAATGCTGTTTTGTTCTACTGATCTTTGTTAATTCATGCTTACCTAAATCCTTTCATTTTTCCCCCTTTCTTTTCCATGAACCATGGTTCGTTTAAATGTGCCATATGCCTTCCTTCATCCTCACCATCATCATCCAAAATCCTGCAGAACCACATGTACTGTGCCGCTTATAGATGTCATAGATGGCAACACTTATAACATTGTACCCCAAGGGGGTGGTGACGAAGATGGGTTTGCTAGAGGAGCATGGGATTGGAGCATGCTCTGGAAGAGGGTTCCCTTGACCAAACGTGAGAAGGAAATGAGAAAGACAAAAACTGAGCCGTATCGGTAATCACTAAATGGCTTACACGTTTTTCCTTTTCTTAAGGATGTACTGACCTATTAAATACTTGCATGATCTTCATTTCTTAAAAATATGCTTTAAAATAAGCCCAATCTTTTTTTCACTAACCTGTGGTCAAGCATTTCTAATACAGCTAAATTAACTTCTTTTGCACTTCTCTCTAGTATGCTTATCTACTCAGTTTTCTAAGCAAAGTATGTAATACATAATTGCTGCTTCAGGTGTTTTAGAAATTGTTTAGCACGGATATTGAGAATTGCACATTCTTCAGATTATTAATGTCTCCTATTTCAATGCATGGTTACTGTTCTTGTTGACTGGAAAAGTGATGAGGCAGATGAGAAATAGCAGGGCACGCTTGCTTCCCTTCTGACATCTTGGGCCCGTTGCCAGTGTATTGCATTGCTTTATATTATCATTTTATTTTGTATTGTATGTTTTAACAGATCTGAATGACACACAGATTAGTTTCAATTACTTGGTAGTTGTAGGATAAAAATTATTCTGTGATGCTGTGCTGAGGGGGAAGCCATAACAGAGAAAAATGTAAATGGTTGCAGCTATTGCCCAGTTTCTCTATTCAGTGCTGGGTCCTACCCCAAAAGAAGGAAGGCAAAACATACAGGGCCAAGAGCTTTAAGAAAGTTGCTCCTCCAGGATAGTGCTGTGGTGGGAGAACACCTTGGCCAGAGCTCTCTCAAGCCTAAGGTGGGCTGGGGTCAGGGGAAGAGTTGAACTGACAAATTGAAGTATTATTAACACTGATGAGAACAAAATGCATGATATTTCTATTTGGTGCAAATAGTTTGATTCTGTTGATTTTTACAATTCTCTTTCATTTGCTTTCATCAATAAAATGGATGTTCAAAAAGAAAATAAACCTGCCTGGAAAGGAATTAGATTTTTCTAATCTCCCTTTTCCCTGTCCCCAAATTAATAAGGCTGTGGTTCTGCTTTGATTCAATTATTCTTCACTAACCTTGCAACCTGACTTATTTTCTTTTCAAAGATCCTTTTCCTGTAGCTAAAGTAAATGTGTTTTTTAATCATTCAGTATACTTTAAAAAATGGATGCATTGGTTTTTTTACTCTTACTTTATGATTTCATTGTTTGAAATATTTCAGTGAAATTATGAAGCTTTGATGAATTAATTAAACATTTTTGCTATCTAACAGAAGATACTGTGGCCCATACTCAAAATCCCAGTATTCAACAAAGGTCTTTTAATAACTTTTAGGCAGAAACTTCAACAGCTGAGTATTCTAGTCACTTGGCCCACTAATAGCTTTTTCTTTTTACCTTTTTTCATCTAAACTGATACAAACTATTGGCACATTGGGAATAGCGCCTCCTTGTGTAAAACCTAAGCAAGCTGTAATATTTTTCCTTTTTTTTTTTTTTTAGCTTGGAAAAGGGATTGTTCCATCCTAGCATTTTTTTTTCCTTTATGTAACTGTTTAAAACTGTTGAGAGAAAGAATTGGTGGACAGCATTTAATCTGCATCAGTAGTCCTAAATTCTAATGATCCTATTGTGACTTCAGAATCAATGCTTTATAATTTCTGCAAATCTAGGTTATCCCTTGTTCTTTAATAAAAGAACAATTTCTTCAGATAGGCTGCATACAAACTGTTTTTGTCTATCTTCTAGATCACCTGCAATGGCTGGTGGATTATTTGCCATTGAACGTGACTTCTTTTTTGAGTTAGGTCTCTATGATCCAGGTCTACAAATCTGGGGTGGTGAAAACTTTGAAATATCCTACAAGGTAAACAGTCGTTCCAAGGAGTTCATTACCATTTTTCAAATAAATGTGTGGTGACTTTTCAGGCTGGTTTTCATGTTCACCTTGATTAATAAAGGGACTAAGAACCATCTTCCTTTCTAGCAGCCTGCTTCTAGTTAAGTTATATAGACAATTATATAATACTCTTCCAGCCCTCCATTGCGGACATTTTTAAATTTAATTTTGTTTAATTTTATAGCGTAAGGCCTGTCTTTTGTTTTCTGCTTTCTTTCCTGACTCAAGTATAGCTCTTTTTCTGTAGAACTTTTAGAAATACTTCTTTCATAGTAGGACATCTAGTAGTCTTGAGCATGTGCCTTATTTGCCTAATATTTCATGAGCTTGGCTTCAAAAGAAATTTGCAAAGGCGAAGACTGAGAACTCTTATACGTTTGCACATGTGTAATAAGAGACTTAAGATGCGGCACCTTTTTCAAGTAACCACTATGAAATTTTGAAGTTTGAACAAGGTCAGGTTGAATAATGCTATACATTGATAGATAGTTTTCAGTTTCAACACACCTGCTGTAAAGTTTGTTATTGGGTGGCCTTTGTGATGAAATGATACCAAAATTAATAAAAGCAGAGTTCATAAAGCCAATTTATGAACTAGAGCAATCTTCCTGAGTAAGCTTGCATAGATATGATAGTAACAAATATATTAAATATAAAATTATATACTCTGTTAAACTAGCCAGAATAATATCAAGATTTTGGAAACAAAAGACCAATATTGGTCTAACACATTCTAAGAAGAAAGGAAGCTTGGAGGCCTCTAGCAATATCTGTGTTTATTGCAATTAAACAGTCCAACAAAATCCTACTAATAAAATCAGAAATTATATTTCTTTAGTGTGCTAAAATTTAATATATTGGCTTGGAACCTAATGAGCATTTTAATAATGACCTGAAAAATGATCTGGTCTCAGATTTAAATTGTATCCTCTTGATTTTAGTATAAGACTACAAAATGAAACAAGTCTCTAAAATAACCCGTAGACATGACTTCATAATTTGGCAGAAATCCAGTTTAGATATTATAGTCTTGGCTATTTATTAATACTGAACACTAATTATTTTTTTTTTCCAGATAAAATATAAGTGCTCATTAGATTTAACTAGGGAAGACAGATTTCTTTGGTCATTCTGGCAGTAATGCTAAAAGTGCAGCTTGATTAAATGCTTACTACAGAGTACTGACATTCTAAAATCTGCTTGCAAATATATTTTTTTTGAATTTTGTTTTAATCCCATGTATTACAATGTTCAGATTTGGCAGTGTGGAGGGAAGCTACTGTTTGTGCCTTGTTCTCGTGTTGGACACATATATCGTCTCCAGGGATGGCAAGGGAATCCACCTCCAGCTTATGTTGGATCATCGCCTACTTTAAAGGTAATGCTTATGTCCTGAAAACATTAATAGTAATAAATGTAAATCTACATCATTTGAAGTGCTTAAAATATTTTTAAATTTTATCTATCTATCTATCTATCTATCTATCTATCTATCTATCTATCTATCTATCT